GTTGTAGTATTGGTGAAATATTGCTGTTTCTCATACTGTATTATTTTAGAAAACAATCGCCACGTCCAGATGGCAGAGTTCTTAAAGAGCTCAAGATGTGACACCGCTGAACTCCCCAAAATGAGTAACTTGTTTGTCAAATAGGGTTCAATGCCAGAAGACTGGAAGGCATCAAATATGACACTAATTTTTAAAAGAGACCAGGAGGGATCAGGATAATATTTATTCCAGATAAATTGGTAGAAGTGGTATTGAAAGTTAAAATAACCAAGAATTTTGTGTGCCTAGGCAATCCTAGTACCTTTTTTATATTATGTGATTTATAGTTTAATTTTCTATGATTGTATATTATAAACCACCAAGTAGAATAATATATAAACACTTACATGTTTTGTATGAATCAATTGGTGTAGGAGAGAATGGAACTCAGAATGAACCTGAAAAGAATATTCTGAAAGAACGTGTAGCCAGCCACCTGATAAGATTGGCAGCCTGTTCGGCCTATGTCACTATTTTCCTACAGATTTCCATTGTAATTACATATGCCCAATTTCTTACCCAGGTCTTTTACTTACTTCCAGGCCTTAAAGTGGATGAACATAGATCAATAAGTATATATATTCAGAGACATTTCTGTGGTTAGTTTCTTGGGAAATGTAAAGTTATTCCTGAAATGTTCATTACAAAGTTATTTGTAATAAGTTATACCCAAGGGATTTGAAAATAGACTTAACGCAGATTAATTATATTTACATTTAGTTACACATTACATCTAATTTACACACAGAGAATATGTTTACAAAAAACAATTGTTCTCTTTTTCATATTTCAGTGTGAGTTATAAATTCTAAAATGTATATGAATTTCTTACCGAATCATCAAGGCCATCTATATGTAAAACTACTGTTTTAGCACGTTTATTTGTACTTCCAAGAAAAAACTGAGCTTTTCGACGTCTAGAATTCATCTCATTCACATTGTCCATGTCAGACATATTGGAAGACTGAAGAATATCATAGATTTCTGAAGCTAATAGTTTTGTTTCCCCAGGCGTTGTGGTCCTAAGGCAAAGCAAAATCATATTTATTTAGATGTATTATAGTTTTTTCTTAACCCAATTTCTTTTACAATTCTCCCAGAAAAAACAGCTGTTTGTTTTTTACTTCTACAATATAACCAGGACTATAGATCCTAAGACTATTTTTCAATTTGGTCCTTAGTTTTACAAAACAATTACCCCTTACAAAAAGATTCCTTTGCTAAATACTTTCCAGAAGATGACAGAGAAAGGGTTTGGTGTCTTGTTTTATCATTATTGTTAATTTATTATGGATGTTGGGTTAAATTGTCTATTGGGAGTTGAAGTCCAGACATATTAGTGGATGAGGTTGAGAAACACTGAGCTAGTTGTTGTACGTCTATAAGAAAAAAATCATAGATTTGTGGTAGTCAACTGACATTCTCCAGTGCATAGTAGTAACAGAAAAACCAGAGATGAATGGGAGGAGAGGGAGCATGAACAAAGGAAGTATAAGGAGCAAAACAATCTGGTAGCTGACATTGAATAAAAGAGTGACAATCAGATGAGAGAATTCAAAAAAAAGACATTGAGACATTCAGAGCCCCAACAATGAATTAGAAATATGACTCTTTAAATAATAACTGTTTAAGGGAAAATATTTAACACATAGTTCAATGCTCCCTCTAAACTGTGCGGCTGCATGGCTGCGCACATGGCAACAAAACACCACACAGCAGTTTCCAACTGCCGCACAGTGGTTTTTGTGAGATGCCTTCCACGATAATAGGAGAGGAGAGCCAGATGAGAGAGAGAGACAGAGACAGAGAGGCAGACGGACAGAGAGACAGACGAAGAGAGAGGGGGGGAGGGAGGGAGGGAGGGTTCTTTGCTTCTTGGGTCAACAGTGAATATCAGTTATCAAAAATGTAGGTAGAAAATTAAGCAGGCAATAGGCAATTATAAAAAGGGAAGCCAACTTTCTGAANTGAGGGACACAGTGGCTCAGTGGCTAAGACGCCGAGCTTGTCGATGAGAAAGGTCGGCAGTTCAGCAGTTCGAATCCCTAGCACCGCGTACTGGACTGACTTCCCGTTACTTGTCCCAGCTTCTGCCAAACTAGTAGTTCGAAACCATGTAAAAATGCAAATAGAAAAATAGGGACCATTTTGGAGGGAAGGTAAGAGTGTTCCATGCACCTTTGGAGTTTAGTCATGCTGGCCATATGTCTATGGAGATGTCTTCAGACAGCACTGGCTCTTTGGCTTTCAGACGGAGATGAGCACCACCCCCTAGAGTTGGGAACGACTAGCACATATGTGAGGGGAACCTATTCATTTTACACTCTACATTGGTTCTTTATGGTATATGCCCTTTCCCGCCCGTTTTCCTATCCCCTTTACTCCACTATAAATCCAAATAAAGGATATTCTGATATTTTATTTTCCTCAAAAATGTGTCAACTATGTGGGTTTGGATGTATTAAATTTTGAAATGAATTATATTTTATCATTGTTAAAGTTCGTTAAAAACTGACAAATCTTTCTGATCATTTTTCCCCTCAGTCAAGTTTATTAACGTCAAATAAATATTGCAGAATGTTACTGCTAAACTAAACTCTAATCCACAAAAACATCTATTAATAAAGGTGTTTAAAACCTCACAAGATGCTGTTTTTTGCTGCAACTAATTCAATCACACATAAACACTAAAAAAAAGTTATTAAAATAACAATCTACTATTTTACGTTATATTGTAAATAGTCTACATTAGAGATTAAATGAATCAAAGTAATCTACATATTGCAAAAGACCAAGGTAAATGAACAATTCTCACCTAAGTATGAGAGAGCATTTGCAATCAACATCTTTAATATTCAATTTCCACAATACTATCACTGTTCTGCCATCTGGTGTTGATTTGAGAGAACAGCATCACATTTTAAAATACATGTTTAAACAGAAAGCAAATACTTCAAAGATTTTTTTTAAAAGCTTTGGAATCCATCCACTTTGTACATAATAAAATAAATATGAAGAGTACCTAAGTTATAACAGGTAGTTCAAGTAACAATTATTTTAGCCCATATATACTGCACACGTGCATTTTACTTTGCAAATGATGTGGCTTTGAAATTAACACTAGGGCAAAATGTACATGTCAACATGATTTCACACACCAATCGCTAACTGCTACTAGCTAACAACTAATTGTAGTATTGCCTTCAAATAATACTGAAGGAAAAGTATCCAATGTAATGACAATCACACAGGAAGGAAGTAAAAATACATTAATTCATTAAGTCATCCTAGAAATGCATTGAAACCAAACATAGCCATGTTGTATTACTTTATGCATTTTTTCTATATTTGGGTTTGAATTATGACTTTTGGATTTTATTGCTGTTCATCTGATACTAGCAACCCACATCTGGCTTTTTAACTATACCATAGGCCAAAATGTAGGAGAATTCCCATCAGATTGTTTGTTTCCCACAAACTTCAGGAAAGGGAAAATAGAAATTCTAGTTAAGACCATGAATTGAGCAAGAGAATGTATTCTCATGTCCATTGGAAAGATCACACTGGAGATCCAACCACTAAAACAAAAGGAAATAATCTGAAAAATGAATCTCTGCTCAATTGCAGTGGGAACACTCTCTACTAATTAATCATAATGTCAATCAATCAATCATAACAATCTAAAAATCTTCCTGCAAGATATGAAGATATGACCAATCTGAGAGCAGAAACAGGCATTTAGGGGGGATTTATAACATGTTTTGGAGAATTTCTATAAAGTAATTTTCATTCTTAAATATCCAGGAGACATTATTTCCACAGAACAATGAAAGGTCACAAAAAGTAAATGTTCCTTTTACTAAAAATAGAAACCAAAAGAAAATAAAAATTAATGTAAGTTTCAGAATTTTCTTAACACGTTTTGCCATGTTGGTGATATTCTTACAAGTGGCAGTTCCCTCTAAATTGAAAATCCGGTATTGAAAAAAACAGCAAGAATAAAATTATCCTGTAGGTAGTTACAATATTGTACTATGAGCTTAGTAGCATTTTCATTTGACCAGAAATGCATATAATTGTATGGTTTGCATGACTATTTGGCCTGTGTTGTGTCCTGATGAAAAAAACACTTCTTACAAAGAACCATATTTTGCTTCAGTAGTTCAGCTCACCTGGGAAATTAATATAACGGCTCCATAATATAGACAGCAACATGCTTCAGTTGGCTCAGCAATATATAAAATATACAACTCTGCCAATATCTGGAGGTTTTAGTGATATTCTTTACATAAAATTTGATTAAACATGCACTGTCCACATTTGAAGGACACTGCAATCAGAACTATATCTAGAAATTAATCTTTTCATTTTATGGGCCATTTTTCTTATATCCTTACCTAAAGTAATAGATAAGGTGTGATGCAGTTTTTTTTCTTCTCCTGCTGGAGAGTATATAAATGATTTCTCCAAAGAGGAAACCTCTCATTGTTGCATAAGATTTAATAGATAAATTCAAAATATTTCAAGATTACAACAGTCTCACCAAAATGTCTTGTTCCAACTTTACCAGAATTGGATCAGCTTTGAAATAATAGAATAATTAAATCTTGGTACAACATTTAGAATAGTCCGTTTCAAGGACATATTTCTGCCATTAAATCAGAACAGCTATTCTTACATCAAGACACTTATAGTAAGGATGTAAAAGGGCATTTTGAGGTTGAAGCATTCCATATTCTCAGTTTCTGCTAACAAGCAGCATAAGTTTTATTTGTGGTCAAAATAGGTTGAAAAACTATTTCCTATTTTTATTTTTGTGAGTAATCAGTGTACATTCACAATGCAACTGCACTTACAAAAAATCCTTTTCGGCCGCTGCAAACGAACCGTCATCTTATGAATTCTGAACTTCGTGTTTCAAAAATGCTGGAAAAATCCTTATAAAAGTAGAAGGATGCCAGTTCATTATATTACACTTTTATTTTACAGTTTTGCAAAATCTGTTTTACAGATACATTAACTGGACAGCTGCAATACTGACCAAAAAAGCATACTTACAAACCAAATGCACATTTTAATATTTACTAGTATAGAATCACTAATATCCAAAGAGATGTGTCATGTAGTAAAGGAGGTGTGCGGCAATGCAAAATGTAGAGAAAAGATGTTAAAATGAAAAGTAAACATTGCATCCATAGTTACACAGCGGAGATCTTTGCAAACACATTTGGTATTGTAACATTCTAGACAGCAATATGCTTTGTAATACATATTGATTATAATACATGCCTTAGAAAGCTTGTATTCTGTGTGCGTAAACTTTAACCAAATAAAGATATGATAAAAGAAAATAATCTAATCTGAAAGTAAATTCTTCATCTTAAAAGGACACTGCATTCAGGTGAATTTTAAATTATTTTTGGACTATTCCTTCTCTGTTGCACATTAGTTTTGTTTATATGAGAATTCCATGATGCTATTTAATTGCTGCAATTGTGCAAGACAAATCTACGGTCTTCCAAAAGATAAAGCTTTGCCTCAAAAAAGTCAGTATCTGTAACAACTGTAGCACAAAATGAATTGCAAAGGACTTAATTTTGAACAGCACTGCAATTTCTCAGCTATACTTCTGTGGTGCAACGTAGCAGTTGTTCTAACAAACTGAGAAAAATCTCAGCTGAAATTTCAATAATCTAATTGCTCTTCTCAACATCTTGCCGACTGAAACAGCACCTGTTTTATGACTATTGGGAACTAAAAGACAAGATCCAAGCACTTTAGAACTTCTTTAAGGAGCTACAATGCAAGATGATGCTCTCCAAGTATAGGTGTTTTAACAGACTAACTACAATGCACTTTTAGGAACTTTTCATCTTTTCAAAGATGCCCCTCAACCCTAGCTATCAGGCACTAATTTTGCCCTGCTCCTGGCTCTGACATGACATAGACTGTCATACAGCTCCAAATATCAGCCCTATGGACACAGGACATCAGCTTCTTTAAAAGGCAATAGGAATAATATATGGTTTCTATCAAGCCAAAACGTTTAAAATGTAGCAGCACAATGGCATATTCAGCATCCTGTTTCTTATCCCTTCTCCATAAACTTGTATTTTCAGCTCTCACTCAAAAGTTTGTTTCCAAATCAGTCACCAGACTTTCTACTACAGACAAAGTATCATGGGAACAAATTGAAGTCTGTGAAAAGCAAAGACCTACATTCCAATCAATAGTTTCTTGTCATCCTTGGAAAATCACAGCCTTCGTCAGAAGCATTTTTACAGCAGATTATTTATAATGTGTATAAATACACATGCATTTCTGTCTTAACTTCTTCTTACTAAAACGTTCCTATTGAAAGTGGTTACGGGCTAACAATTAAAAAAAAACAAATCTCCAAGTCCAAGTCATCTTACATTCCTACAAATAGAGCATGACACCCTGGCTCTGAAAAAAAAGGTGAATAAATCTATCTTTCTTTTCTTCTAATTGAAATATATAATCTGAAATAAGGCTAAAAAGAAAAGGAAAAAAAAAGGCATTTCATTTTGTAAAATCAGAGCTAACAATTTCTTTGCACGTATGTCCTGACATTTTTGTTGAGTGGGCTCTGCACCTATTTATCATGAATGTTAACTTAAAGCTTCATAAATTCAAAAATGTTTGGTTGATCATGGACCCACATTAAAAAGTGAGGCAATAAAACATAAAAGGAGGGGGAGGAGGGAATGAACAAACGTTGATTTGAGGCTTCCATCTTCTGAATGCTCAAAAGGCCAAAATGTCCAATAAAATGTAAAACACAGTATATATTTTGTGTAGTCTAAAAAAATCTGTTACGATAACTTATTGCAAATTGCACTCGGCAGTTCGCCAAAATAATGGGAAAACTACCCCCTGTTGGTTGGCACAGTCCTTTAGCCTTGATTCAAAGTCACCAATAGAAGGATCTGGAAAGAAAATTTGCAGCTGTGCTCAGCCAACTGGCTGCCCCTTCTGGGTGTGATCCAACCCGGGACACGGCTTTGTCTTGCTCCTTTGAAGGACTTTCATCTTCTGGCAAGTATTCAGGAAGGTCAGTATTTTGCTCCACTTCTACTGGAGTATCTTGGAAAGGAACCAACATCTGCAAAAAATGAAACATGGTGTTAACACGCATCGTGGAATATCATACGTTATTTTTCAAAATTTGCTTTTGCTTTTCAGCTAGGCTACATTTATTTCTGCAATCACTTTCAGATCATTTCACTTTTATTAGCAGAAAGGATAAAAATGATTTTTAAAGGGTGTTTTTTAAAAAGCTTAGGTATGTATGTATGTATGTATGTATGTATGTATGTATGTATGTATGTATGTATGTATGTATTTAGTGTCACAACCCCTGGTATGCCCAAATGTGGGAGGAAGCAAACTGCTTCCATTCTCTGTCTATCGGCTCGTCACAAGAGACCATCACGACAGAAACCCAATATTTTTTACTGTTGCCTTTGCACAAATACAACATGTGTGTGTGTGTGTGTGTGTGTGTGTGTGTATTTATTAGATTTCTTTTACATTTATCATTTATCATTTATATTTATTAGCACAAATACAACATGTGTGTGTGTGTGTGTGTGTGTGTGT